CACACACACACACACACACACACACACACACACGCCCCCAGTGGTAGCAGTAGCCAAAAGAGGGAGGCTGCTTGGGGTTCTCTGGGGACCTGACTGGGCTTTTTCCTCCAAGTGGACGGACTGGGGGAAAAGGGCAACGGTTTGCCTCCTCAGGAGAGCCGGGCTTGTCCCTGGGGTGGAGGCTCCGCCTGACATGAGGGACCTTGCGGGGGTGGGGCAGAGTGATTGCCAAGGAAAACCTGAAAGCACCCCTCTCCACATTAGAAGCTCAAGAGAAGGGCCAAGACCATGGAAGGAAGAGTCTGCAGGCCACTGAGGAAGGATGGGTGTGTGGGTGGGCACAGGGGAACACGGCTGGCCACCCTTCCTGCTGGGCCCTGGAAGGGAACCTAACTTCTGGCCTCCTTTCCTCATCTGCAGAGTGGAAGTGCCCTGGGGAAGGCCACACTGAATTTTCTGGGCCCTTGAGAGGGTTCGGGAGCCGAGGAGAGGGGGGCCAACCCTGGGCCATCTCTCACTTGTCTCCTCTTAATGAGAGCAGATTCTGCAGAGCTCTCTGCCCTTTGTCCATGGTCTTTTTCCCAAGAGAATACAGCTGGGCTCTGCTTCAGTTGCGTCTAGACCCCAGAGGCACTGGGAAGGTGCTCACTCAGTGCATCTGCACCCAGGAAGGAGTGCCACCTCCTCATTGTGTGCCCTGTGCAGGGTCACAGCAGGCATCCATGCACATCCTGCCTCCAGACCCAGGGGATGAAGGGCTCAGCAACCTGTAGGGGTGGCGTGGGGTGGGGGGAGGTCCTTGGCTCCTGGACAGCGTCCAGCCATCCTCCCCTCCAGAGTAGTCGTCTTCATCTGAGAGTTTGGGCAGGGGCCAAGAGTGATTCCTTTGGAGAGGGAGGGGATGGAGGTTGGGCTGAGACCCTGCAGGTGACTGACCAGCAGGGCGTGTCGCTGAGCCTAGATCTTTCCCTTTAATACCTGGGAAGAGACAATTCTGAGAAGTTATCAAAGGGACCAGGGAACAGGCCTGGCTGCTGCTTCTTTTAATCTTGAGGAGACACAGGTGAAACTAATTACACAAGTGTGCTCCTCCAGGGATTCATTTTGATCTCGGCTTTGACTCGGCTGGACTTTGAGGGGAGCTGCAGGTGACCTTCAGGGGAGAGGAGGCACAGAGCACGGAGCAGGCCTTGCAGGGAAGGCGCAGTCGGCCACTCCGGCCACATCTGGCTCTGATTTTTTTCCTCAGGCACATTTAATAAGCCTGGCTTTGAAGCCCTGGCCTCCCCTTTAATGCACAGAGACTTGCACAAATGGTCAACTCTCAGATTCCTTCCTGATTGGATCAGGCTGTGGGAAGGTCCTCCTAGCTGCTTTATCTCTGCAGGGCCTGGGCTGGATTCAGTGCCCTCCTGGTGGGGTGGGGGTGGAGTGCCAGGCCTTACCCCCAGTGCTGTGTGGGCCCCAACATCTCAATTTGCACCCCCTCCCCCCTCAATAAAAAGGCCCAGCGAGGTTGGGGCTGTGGAGTGGGGACCTGGGCTGTTGAGTAATCTCAACGTGGCAGGGGTTCAAAAAGCAAACAGTCCTTCCAGACGTGCCAGACGCTATTGGTGCCAGATGTCAGAAGAAAGCAGAGTTTGCCACATAAAGCATGTTGCAGTGGAAAAGCCTGTTTCTTGGAGAAAACGAGGGCAGTGCAGCGCGTTTGAAGTCCCGGGTGGCGGGGGAGCCTTGCCTCTCCTCTCTGGAGGGGGTTGTAGTGTAAAAGGTCGCTGGGAGCCCAGGTTGGTGAGCCTGGAGGGGTTAGGGCTGGGCTGCCTGAGGGACTGGGAAGGGTGCCTTTCTGCTGTCCCCACCATGGAGGTCCTCCACACTTTCTCACCGTCTCCTCTGAAAGCTTCCCCAAGAATATTGACCTGCTCCCTGGACGTGAAGCATTTCCCCCTGGCCAGAGCGCTGGAGCAGAGGCGCTGACTGGACCCAGCTGTTCCCTTGGACTTCACCATATCTCCTAAGAAAGCCTTTGGCTCACCTCGTTAGACAGGAAGAAGTTCAGCTCTTAACAAAGCAGTTGATTTTTTGTTTGTTTTGAGAAAAGGCAAAACAAACAAACAAAACCCAGCCTGACCCTGAGAGGCTGCTCCTGCTCCCAGGGGACTGTGACCGCCTGAGGGGGTCTCCCTTGCTGGGAACGGGAACCTGGAGGCCCTTACTGATCCCCTCTACAGGGCCTGGCCGAGGACAGCAGTGGTTTCCAGAGAGAGGCCGCCATTGGCGATTGTACAGTCACACACAGCTTTAGGAGAAAGGCCTGGGGTGCTCAGAGGGGCCTGACTCCACAGCTCAGAGAAGGGCCTCTGCTCTGACTTGAGGGGGATTGAGGGGGAGCAGGGGAGAGGAGGCAGGAACATGGAGACCAGCGGGAGGGTGTTGGGGGGCCAGTGCTCTGTTCTGGACACTGGGACAGGTCTAGAGCTGGCCGGCCTTCTGCATGGCTGTGCCAGGGACCATCGCCCCTGGGCCCAGGAGGTGGGAAGGGCGAGCAGCCTCTGGACTGACAGACCAGCTGCAAGTCTGCCTTCTGCCTTCTGGGTGCAGGCTCTTTGCTAGGCTGGCCGAACCGGAACTGCCCTTCCCATTCTCTCCCTCCCCCAAAACGGGAGAGAGCAGCAGCTCTGCTTCCCATGTCATGTGGGCCTTGGGCAGCGGTGTGAGCTGAAGGCCTGTGGCGGAGAGGCCTGGGCGGGCCGGAGGGGTACAGCCTCCCCCTGTGTCTGATCCTTTTGGCCAGACGCCCCACCTGCCCCTTAACCAGAGGAGGAGAGCGACTTGCAGCACACCTGCTGTCGCCGGTGCACAGCTCGGCTCTTCCTCGGGAAGGTGCAGTCTCAACAAACTCTTCCTGTTTTCTTTTTAAGGTATTACTTCAAAAAAGCAAGTGATGAGTTCGCCTGTGGAGCAGTGTTTGAGGAGATCTGGGACGACGAGACGGTGCTCCCCATGTACGAGGGCAGGATTCTGGGCAAAGTGGAGAGGATCGATTGAGCCTCGGCGAAGCGTGGAGCTGGGGCCCGCATGCCCTGTCTTGGACCTAAGCAACAGCCACACGACATTTTGAAGGAAAATTAAACCAATGAAGAAGACTAACTCTGGGGAAGCATTGGCCACTGGGCCTTCGGGAGGGGGGGAGGTTGATTTTCATTATTCATGAGCTGGGTACTGAGATAAGAAAAGCCTGAACTATTTATTAAAAACATGACCACTCGTGGCTGTTGAAGATGCTGACTGTGTTGGAGAGCCTGCCATACATAATAGATGACTTCCTAGGGGTCTGAGATCCATAAACTGAGCGAAGCTGTGTGTAGCTTACCTGAACAGGAGTCCTTACTGATATTTATTGAACAGTTGATTGCCCCCAGCCCCAGTTTATGGATATGCTGCTTTAAACACGGAAGGGAGAGGGGAAGTTCAGTGGTTCTGTCTGCACTTAGGAGCGGAGCTGGGAGTGCACGGAGGGTTTCTTGGCGAAGAAGGAATTGCACCTTGCACTGCCTTTCTCCCGGGGAGGATGGACATTTTTTTTTAATGGTGCCCTGCCATTGACACATGCAGAAATTGGTGCATTTTTTTACCCCTGTGCTGCTTTGTCATAAAGGTCTTGAGGGTTGGCTGTGTGCCGACCTCGCCTTTTTGGGGTGGTCACGTTGGATGGGCTGCTCCATCGTGGAGGAGGGGGTGCCTTGTTGGGGCCCCAGAGTCACCCTGGGACCGAGGCCCCACATCTTGTAGCCTCTCTCAGCCCTGGGCCCGGTGGCTGGGGCTGCTGGGATCCCGGCCGTGTGGTTCAAGCTGTGCTGGTATCGAAGTGGCGGTTCTGATTTTTTCCCATTAGTCTTGGGACCACAGCCGTTCAGGAAACTCTCGCCACCCCTGCCGCCACCCTGCCCACCCAGAGGCAGGGAGACCTAGCAGCACCTCTCCTCCAGCACTTGACTGTGTTGGGGTTTGTGTTAAGTTAATGTGTACATGGTCCGCCCTGGTCACCTGTACCATACGTCTGTATATAGTGTACGGCAAAAGAGTATTAATCCACTATCTCTAGTGCTTGACTCTGAATCAGTACAGTACCTGTACCTGCACGGGACCCCCTGTGTGTCGCCCTATATTGAGGGCTCAAGCTTCCCTTAATTTTTGAAAGGGGTTTATGTATAAATATATTTTATGCCTTTTTATTACAAGTCTTGTACTCAATGACTTTTGTCATGGCATTTTGTTCTACTTATACTGTAAATTATGCATTATAAAGAGTTCATCTAAGGAAAATTACTTGGTACAATAATTATTGTAATTAAGAGATGTAGCCTTTATTAAAATTTTATATTTTTCAAAACGTTGGCCTCGTCTTTGAATCCCAGGGTGCAATAGGACTGGGTACCATTTCTGCTTGAGCATCTGCCATTCATCCCGCCTTACCCGAGCCCTTGGCTGATCTGCGCCTGCCTGGAGGTTTGGTAAAACTTACTTCCTGGTTGCTGCTTGAGGCTCTTGTTGGGGAGCAGGTGTGAATGACGGCGTCCCCACGTGTACGGGGTTTCCCTCCTAGGCGTGTCTGCAGTCTGGCCACGCAGGTGCAAGTGGTAAGGGACTGAGGTGGGTCCTCCTTGGGGTACTTGCGTTCCACTCAGTGTCTCAGAGGTGAAGAGCCCCCCTGAAAATGGGTTTGTATCCGTGGCATAGCCAGGTGAGGCCAGGGGACTTTGAAGTCATTGCCAACCTGTCACCCTCCCCTTTCTGGGGAGGCTGATGACCTCATCTGATCACTCTCTGGGCTGGCCAGGTGTGGGGAACTAGCAGCAGGTGATTCAAGAGTGGGCGAGGCTGGTGCTGCCAGGGGTAGGTGTGCTTCATGTGGACACGGAGGTCAGTCAACGGGTGGCGTTTCACCAGAGCTCCCTTCCCGGGCCGTGCGTTGAGCAAGTCCTCTTAATCCTACAGATGAACCCTTTTTAAAACTAAGAGGACTTCTGTGGGTTGCACTGTGTGCTGAGAGCTCATCAAGGTCTGCTGTGGGTCTGGTTTGACTTGTCCCTGCTGCCCCCCAGCCTCAGGTGGAGGGCGATGAAGGCCAGAGTCCTGGCTCTGTGAGGGAGGGGAAGCCCTAGCAGCACTTGGAGCCACGGCTGGGGGTGCCTCTTCAGGCCTTCCCGTGCAGCCCGGAGGAGAAGCTCAGGTGACGCTAGAGGCTAAAAGTGTACCACCTCCTGGTGGCTGTGGGCGAGGATTTGGCATCTCAGCTGGACTAGCCCATCACTCATGTTTCCACCCCTTCTTTTATTGTGGTATAAACACCAAACACCTTGGCAGAATTCTAAGCGTGCAGCGTAGTACTCTCAGCAACAGCGATGATGCGGTTCCACGGCTACCTAGAAGTTACTCAGCTCGCAGGTTGGGATTTGCTGATTGATTGGCAAATCACCACCACCCACACCCAGAACTACCATGTTCCTCTCCAGCTTCATGAGTGACAGTTTTAGGTCGCTCATAGAAGCAGAATCACACATTTAAAAAAAAAAAATTTTATTTTTTAGTTGTAGTTGGACACAGTACCTTTATTTATTTATTTATGTTTATATGGTGCTGAAAATCAAACCAGGGCCTCACATGGGCTAGGCAAGCGCTCTACTGCTGAGCCACAACCCCAGCCCCAGAATTACATTATTTGTTCCAGGGCTCACTTATTTCATTTAGCAAAATGTCCTGGAGTTTCATTCATGTTGTCACATCATAAGATTTCCTTCTTTTTAAAGGCCGAGTAGTATTCCATTGTATTTCTACCCAACATTTTCTATATAACTCTTCATCCAACAATGGACACATGGGTAGTTCCATATCTTGGCTCTTGTGACTAACACTGCGGTGAGTAACACTGCGGTGAGCACCCATTTCTCCACAGCCTCACCACCTGGTTTTTGTTTAACATCCACCCTAACAGGGAGGAGGTGATGGTGCCTTGTGGTTTTGATTGACGTTTCCCTACTGCCCGGTGATTGACCTCAAGCATCTTTTCCTATACTTGTACGTCTTAGGAGTCGAGTCTTTATCCCGTGTTTTAAATTGGGTTGTTAAGTTGTTTTGCTACTGCGTTGAAGAAATTTCTTACATATTATTGGACTATATACTTGTTTTTTTTCTTTTAGATTGTGTTCATTTTAAAATTTATTTCTTACATACAGGACAATAGTGGAATGCATTACATTCATAATTATCCATTCACAGCACAATTTTTCGTAACTCTGTATATAAAGTATGTTCACACCAAATTATGCCATATACATGAGCTCTCTTATTGATTTTTTTTGTGTGTGTACATTACAATTCCTAATGCACGGTCCTCATCATACAAAATGCATGTATAAAGATGTGAATTTGGTGTCAACAGACCTTATAGAGAGACATGGTAATCGTGGTGTAAAGGTGAACTATATACTTCTGCCGCTTCTCCCAGAGGCCTGTTTCTCTGCTTCTCGCTCATACTCATAACCAGGGGATCTCACCTCCACCCGGATGTGCTCCCAGGCTGGTGAAACCTTGAACGTGTACAGAGTCAGTTATGTGTGCCTTCCTCTGAGGTGGGATCAACGGCATCGCTGGGCTCTCAGGCATCTGTGCCTCCAAAGAAAACACTAGAAACCCTTGGCTTGGCCTGTCAGCCCCTCTTCCCTATCCCAAATCTTCATACCAGGCCCTCCCCCCTCAAGCTCCTTGCGAGTGCTTCCTGAGGGCCTGTTGCTTTGGGGTGACCGAGCGCCCCCCGCCGCCCCCCAGGACAGCCAACGTCTGTGTGTCCCCCCCCCAGGGGTGGTGTGCACATCCTGTGCTGCTCAGGCCTCCGCCTCAGGTTCACAGGCTTAGGTCCTTCCACAGGCTCCAGCCTTAATTCTCTGACTCTTCACCAGGTCATTCTGGTCAAGAGCAGACTGGGGGTGGGGGGTGGGCTGTGGCTGTGGCTAAGGATAGAGAGCTTGCCCAGCAGGCAGGAGGCCCTGGGTTCAACCTTCAGCACCACATAAAAATAAATCAATAAGTAAAGGTAATGCGTCCACCGACCACTTTGGGGGGAAAAAAAAAAGAGCAGACTGTGGGTGGGGCAGACCTGGGCCAGAGTCCACTTGCGGCCGTGTCCTGTGGGGCAGCCACAGTTTCCTCATCTGTTCACTGAGGCCAACAGAGGTGCTGACTTTCTAGAGGGCCTGGGAAGCCGAGGCGTGTTCCTAGCGGGGGCGCCTCCTCTGCTCCACGCTCACCCGCTTCTGGCTGCACCCCCGGGGTCCGCCTGCTCATCCGTTGCCTGGCACACAACCAGGAAGGCTTGAGGCCAACCGACTCCCAGCTGGCGCCCACCTCCAGCTCCAAGGCATCTGTCAGTTTTCCTTTCTCGAACCCAAGTCCCTCCACGGTACTTGGAAATTCTAGGTTGACTCTGGCCCAGGGTGACCATTAGTGTAGGGCTCTGGAATGTGGGGTCTGGTCAAAGGATCCTATTGTATCATCCCCACCCCAGAAAACATGGGGACCATAATCACGCTGTCAAAAAGAAGGAAATAGTTAATTACCCCCAAGAAACTATTCCAGTCCATTTGAATAATTAGGGTAAAGTTATTTTGGTTTTTGGTTAAGAAAAATGTTCCTTTTTTTTTTTTTTTCCTTAAGTGTTTGTACAAAAACTCCCAAAATTACATAGACGTTTCATTGAACTCATTTACATCCTCCTTAGCAATTATTATCTCACCCTAGGGTCCAGACTTCCTAGAGTGAGCCTCGGCTGGACTTCAAGGGGCACCCCAGGAAGTGGGGGGTAGCAACTTGGTTTAAAAACAAAAAAAGTTGACTATTTCCAAAATTATCCCAGAGAGCAGCCAGCCTGCCTGGTACATTCTCTGGGCCCAGGTGGAGAATGTGCACAGAACCTTAGGTCTGGCGGCTGTGGAGACTGTGTGAGTGTAGTGGGAAGGACATGCTTTGGAAGGGATCTGCCCCAGGTAGAACAGCTGCCCCCTGAACAGAGGCTCCTGCACCTTGTCCAGTGCCCAGTTCTGAAGACAGATCCCTGTGCTCCATCCACCAGTGACCGTCTCCCTCCCCTGAGTGCTGGCTGCTCAGGGCCTTTGCTTACGCAGATCCTGCTGGGCACACCCCCGCCCCCAGCCACTCCTGCTAAGGTCTCCTTTCCACCTTCAGACCTTCACGTCAGTGTCGGAGGTCTTCTCTGGGGATGGGATCCACGTATGCCCCTGCCAGATGCCCCCCGTGGCAGAACTTCCTTAATTTCCTACGTTTCATGTTCTGGTCTGTAACTATATTGTGATTATTAAATTGCTCAGTTATTTGTCCCTAGTTCATTCACCGCAGAATATGAAACCCTGGCCCTGTACCTCGCCTGTACCTCGAAGGCCCTCAATTAATATTTCTGGAATAGAAGCAAAAGAAGAACAGAGAAACTGTTTAGAGTCATGCCACCTATAAGACGAAGACTATTAACACTCCGCAATGTCCTTTCAGATGAAATACACACTAACACACACACACACACAGAGGACCGCACGGTGTACATGATTCTATGACCTGTCGTGTTGATCCAATCACACGACACTGGTGTGTCTCCGTATCATTAACTGTTTTTTTCCTATGTTCTCCTACAGTATGACTTAAATGTAAGGCTGAGCCGTATTCACGTAACCGCTTAGAATCGGGAGTTCACGTAGTCTCCAAATTCTGCAACTATAAGCCACGCGGCGATGAGATCTTCATCCGTCTTCGTAGCTGCCCGTGAAGCTCCCAGCTAAATGGTCCTGTGTTCCTAGGACGGAGGTTTTTCAAAGGTCTTTTTGAGGACTTGGGCCATCTGCCACTAGGTGGTCTGAGGTGGTGACCTGTGCTTCCTTGAGTCCCCAGTGCCTTAGTGTCTGTGCCCTGGTTTGATTCCAGGGCTCTCTGCAGCCTGTGGCACGCCAGCCTTTCTGGGGCTACAGATGCTTCTTCACTGCCCTAACCCTGTCAGAAGTGAAGGTCCCAAATACACCTTGTCTGCTCACCAGGTGGTCCGTGCCTGGAATCAGGAGCCCAGCTGAGTACCGGGTGGGATTCTGCTCACCTGCCAAAAGACCAAATTCAAAATTCAAAGTAGAGTTTCCACTGAATGTGTATGGCCTCGGCGCCACCGTAAAGTCCCACAAAAAACAAGCACGGAGGAAGGTTGAGCCAAGGTCAAAGTGTCCACGGGGCCATTTCCCTCTGAAACCTCATATCTCCTCCGGCCTCTGGTAGGGCCACTGGTCCTTGGCTGATGGCAGCGTCACTCCCCCGTCTCTCTTCACACTGTCCCCCTCTGGA